AAAAAAAAAAAAAGGAATCAAGAGAAGTTTGTAGGACCAAAATCATAAAACTATTAGTTATTTTTAAAGACTTTTTATCATGGAAATTTCAAAATACATACAAAAGTAAAGAAGGTAACATATACTGAACCTCCCATGTACCCATCAGCTGGCTTTAGTTATATCACCAATTCAAGGCTATTCTTGTTTCAGCCATACCTCTCTCTACTCCTCCCTATCCCATTCCTGTCTCATTTTAAAACAATTTCTAGGCATCTTATAATTTTATTTATAAATATTTCAATATATATCACTATACATAACTTTAAAAAACCATCATTATATAGTAAGTGTTCAAACTCTCCTAACCTTTATCATAAACAGTTTTCTACAGTTTGTTCAAATCCAAGGTCCATAGACTGTAACTGGTTGACACTTAAGTTTAATCTATAGATTCCCTCTACCCCCTAAGAAATTGGGTAGTTAGAATTTTCCACATTTGGGATTATGCTAAATCTAACTCCATCTCCATGATGTCACTAACATGTTCTTTGTCCTCTCTGTACTTCCTGTATAATGGCAGTTAGATCTAGAGGCTTGGTTAGATTCAGATTTGATATTCTGGCAAGAACATTTCACTGATTGTATAGTGTTGTATAGTTCTACCAAAAGGCACTAACGTCTGCTGCTCCTTTTGTGATGTTAGCAGTCATTAATGAGCGCTGCCTAGAGTCAGATTGCAAAATGATAGTTTTAGAATTCTATCATTCCTCCTTTGCCTACTACCTGGAATGCTTTTTATAAAGGTCGGTCAGTAATTTTGATATTTACTTTTGGTGATATTTAGATATTTATCATCTATGGCCTTCCCATAGTTAGATACACTACCTTGTTTAAAAACAGAAGGTAGCAAGGGTTTAATAGAATATTCATTAGTTCTGAGAAAGATATAATTAAAGACATAAATGGGAACCAGAGAACCAAGCAAGCAAAATTTATAAGATGAGGGGATGATAATAAAGGGAGAAGAAATTATACAGAAATTATATCACTACCCACAAAAGAGGAATCTCTATCTCAAAAGACCAGCCTTTAGAATTTCTACTCTCCCATTTGAGAAATAATGACTTAAAGATTTGTCTGAGAAAATAACTGCAAATAAGCCTGTTAGCAAAAGTGACCCAGAAGTACCTCTACGGAAAAGTCTAGTTGGTTGATCACCCAACATTTTGACAAGGGCATTACTTTGGTCAATTTCCACAATCCAGTATATGTTTTGTAGACCTGTAAATTCAGATACCTTGCTTTATTTAAATTTAACTTGAACTCCAATGATGAGCACAGAGACTGACATATTTAAAGCAGAAAGCCAATTTCTAAGTTTAAGAAAAGAAATACAAAAGTCAAGCAGCAAAAATACCTGTACTTTTTATTGCAACCAATATATTTTCTTATGCAAATGTTCATTCACAAAAGTAGGGAGAAGACTGATAATATTAATAATGAATACCCTCGACTCACCTCATTTATCACTTGTCTTCAACAATTATCACCATCTCCCATCTGCAACTAATATACTTTTTTATATCTGTTAATACAATTTTTAGTCAATTTGACTAACCTATTTTTTACCTTTTGGTAAGCTATTTGGAAAGCCATGTTATCAGAAGGTACTATGATGAGTACAGGGATACAACAGAGAGATTGAAATAGTCTTAATATCTCAGCTAAGACAGTAGTTTTGCTAAGGAAATAGTAATACTTCTAGAACAGAATCTCCATCCCCTTGACTGTACTTAAATGGGCAGTACCTACCCATGTTTGCCTCTTTGAAATCCTTTCTTATTGTTCTAAAATTCCCCTTCTATTTTAACTAGTGTTTTTCATGTGTAGTAGAAAAAAATTACCTGTGCTACACTTACAACTTGGTTCTGCCTCCCTAAGATTGTATCTACCCATCTTAAATCTTAAACAATGTCCCCATATTCAGTCTCTTTTATATGTTGAATCACTGAGAGGAAAATTACTGTACCAATTTTACAGTCATAAAAAGGTTTTGCACACGTTAATTCTCTGACATGGAGGGGACTGGTGAATTGAGATTGAACCAGACTGCCTCTAAGGTTCTCTTTATAACATTCCAAACAATGGAATACTGGTGTGAAAACAAAGGATGCAGACAGAAACTCTGTAAGTACTGCTGTGGAGGAATGGTGAAGACAACAGCAATCACTGTAATGAGGAGAGCATGAGCTACACCCACGGCCACAGCACTCGTAGCTTGCTTCATTTATGAGGATGAGTGCATTTCATCCTCTAACAACTCTGGGAGGCAGGTACTATTTGTAAAATCCTCTTTATAGCCAGAGAAAGCAAAGCCAAGGTGGTGGAATAACTTGCCCAAGTTATGACAGAGGTGGGATTTGAACCAAGGCAATACATTTCCAGAATCCATACTCTTCACCACTACCAGGGGTCTACGAATATTTACTGACATTCTACTAAACTGCTAGGTGAGGAAAGCAAGGTGCAGAGCAGGATACAGTATGTACCCATTTGTGTAAAGAAGGGGACAAAGGATATATATGTATTGGGTTGTATTTCATAAAATATTTCCAGAAACTCAAAACCGTGACTGCCTCGAAAATGTGGAAATGATTAGCTGAGGGACGGGCACAAGGCACAGATTTTTACCTTTTGAACTGTGAAGCATGTGAGTAATTACTGATTCAAAAAAAATCAAGTAAAATTCTATTATCTACAAGGTTAAAGTTGAAACTAGCTACTATCAACACTAACAAGCTACTCACATCTGACAGAAGTTTCAGAATAAAGAACACACATCATCACCAAGGAACTGAAAGGTCAAGATATGAATGGGGAATGATTGAATCATGCTGTAATTTGAAAATAAAACTAAACTGGAACCATTACAAGCAGTTTTCAAGAAAAACTACAATAGACAAATACTAACTGGAAATTATGTGAAAAAGGAAAGCAATTTGAAACTTTTCAAATGATAGGATTACATTATTGGTAATTATTCTCTTTCCTACTACCAAGATTAGAAAGAATATGCCTGAAATCCTAAAGGTAAATAAAGCTTTTCCTGTGTTTTCATGCAGTTACCATCAATCCCACAAGGGGATGCCAGAGCTCTACCAATGACAAAGGAGTTTAATTTCTAATTTAAAAAGAAATGGCATTCACATTTTTATATTTCCTTATATCTGTGGAAGTATAAATGAATTGGCAGATGTTTCTATTTCACGCTATATAAATTTTAGCACTTACACTTTCGGCAGGTAACTTAAAAATATTTTAAAATACTATTGGCAAAAAAAAAAAAAATCTATTGGAATAAAACTAATTTCTGTTAGTGTTCTTTACAACCTGCCAAAGTAGTTGGACAAAGTTTTGCCAAACTTAGAGGGCCTGTCTGGAAACAGTCTTACTTAAAATACAGGCTGGGTAGCACATTTCAGGTCCACTTTGAGAGGTCCTGGGCAGCATAACAACTCACTTTTTATTTTGTACCAAGTAGCATACCATAAAATTTTAAAGACTTGACAAACTGAGTGTAGACATTTTCATTTTAAAATGCATGCTACTTTATGGAAGGTGAAAGAAGACATGGGATGTGGGGTGGGTGATGTGACAGGCCTCAAACGCTATTCGTCAATTTTCAAAGTGAGTAAGTTTAACCCCCCCCAACACCACTGTGGATACATTTTAGAAATTATACAAAATGCCACCAGAAAGACCCACACATCTTAGATATGTATTAGCAAGAGGCAAAAATAAAGTAAAAATTTTAAGAGTCTAAAAATCCATCTATAAGGGATAACTGCTTGAGGACAACAGAGTTCAAAGGGAAGAATGTCTGACGGTCAATATGGAGAGGCAGGCTCTTTTAAACACAAATGAGACTGATGCCAACAGTAACAAACACCTAACCACTCAGTTTCAACTCCTCTTCAGGCACTGAAATGGGAGTTCTAAACAGTGAGCCTTAGAGGCAAATGAGAAAGGCCTGCTCTCTTATGCTCAGTAGAAACCCAAGTCTAGCATGAGGGTTACTGGCCAACCTACTGGAAGAGGGCAGGAACAGGCATGTTTGTAAGTACTGTAGACAGAAAAAAATGATAGTTTCACATCGATTCTCCTAAGGAAGCTAACATCAGTTTAATGTGTGAACATGAAGTTCCATCTACCATCAGTTTAATGTCACTGTAACAGACATAATGAAAATAATACTGTAACCATGGTTGAGCCACCAGAGCATCTGAAAAAAGCGTTCACTGAATCAGCTTAACATCTGGACCCTAGACATTTAGAAAATAATAGCAGGGCCATCCATAGTGCATTTCAGTGGGGTGTGGTAAAGGAAAATCACTGGTAAGATCCCATAAACAGCTGATTCTCTACCATAAACCCTTTGCTTTCAAACATGCACAGTTCCCAAGACCATTAATAAAGCTTCTGTACTGCAGATGCTGATCTGTGACCAAGCATCATCTCACGTGGGCAACTCTCATGTTTTAAATGATTTCCAGTTTCTCCTTAGAGTTAAGATTTAGTTTTTGAACAGAACAATATTCCTAGACAATTCAGTTCTTGTATCTGAGTATTAGAAGTCAAGTCATAAAGCCATCAATGTACTTCTATTTCCGCAAAAATAAATAACCAAATCAATTAAAGTTAATGACTCCTGGCTTATTCCACTACAAATTTAAAAATATGCTTATTGTAAGCATTTATTTGCATATACAGTGTATTAAAGGTGATGACCTACTATGGAGTTCACTAGAATGTGTCTTCTTACCAGGCTTGATGAGAGGAATCATTTCTTAACACATTCACAGGAACCTTAATCTCCCCTAGGAAAATATCCTGGACCAGGTTTCCATTGTTCCACAAGTCGATCCTGAAAATTTTAAACTGGCTTTATTTTTTGCAAACAATGTTTAAGAGAATGCACACCACCAGGTAGCTTCAAATTACTTTGGTTGTATTATAGCATTAATTTTACATGCTTTAAGAGTAAGAGATGTTAGCGTTGTCATATACCTCACTATCTAAACTAAGAAAACAAAATATTGCAGTAGCTTTTATTGATAAGCACAGAAAGTAAACCACTTTAAATGGTCTAAAAGAAAGCACTTAATGTTTCTTAGTTTCAAAGTCTAGGCTTCATTTTAACCTGTGGCAGGGGGAACTAGAGTTACTTTCTTGAATTTGAGAAAAGAAACCAACACAAGACTATAGTTTCTTTCTCAACTGGAACCAGTTAATATGAAAATATATGTGATTTAGAAAAATACATTACCTGATCATTCCAAACATGTGTCTAATGCACCCTTTACCACACTGTTAACACCACACCTAAACATGCACTTATCGAACTTTCCCCTCCCAAACAGCATATACTTAAGACCTAAATAACACAAACTTCAAACACATGCACCTGTTGAATTATCTTACAAGACTTCTTACCTCACTGAAATTTCTGTTAGACAGCAGATATGTTAAGAAGAATAAAAAAATTATTTCTAAATTGGCTAATATATAATTACTTTTCTATATACTCTTTGCATCCATTATGCTATGATTTAGAATTTTAAAGAACAATTATATTTGTGAAAATTAAAAATATAATAAACTAGGTGAAAACTAGGTCATCTTTGGTTTTAAATAAATACACCTTGACTATTTCTGCAAAGCAATCAGATTTTGAGAAGATAATATGAATTTAAATTAGAGTTTCATCAACCAACTTGCTAAAGAGAATTCTATTAAGCTTGGTTCGCCTTTTTCAATTAAATTTAGAATTTTCTTCTGGCACCAAAAAAAGCAATTCTGTAAAACTCCAAGACATATACCTAATTTCTAGCTTTTCGATGTCCTCCTCTTCTACCTGGAATTGGGACTTTCTGGTATAACTACTGGATCTTGTTACCTGCAAACAAAGTATTTTAGTTGATAAAAAAGTTTGAAAATTTCTTCCTACATGAACTTCAAAAACTATCATCCCTAAAATGTTCTATTTTATTTATTATAAACAGAGGAAAATGCGTAGGTAATAGTTTATCCAAAAGCTAAAGACAAAACCAGCTATGGAAGTAGCAGGGAAGTGAGAATGAGACAGTATAAAAATATCAAAAGCAATCTTTCCTCCAAGCCCCCCCTTATCCACTCAACATACAGCAACATTAGGTTCTCTGGCTCACATGCAATCTGTTGGTGACTCAAAGAGCAAAACTGTTCTATTTTGGTGAAGCTGCGCATACCAAGAGCTGTTTGAAGACTGTCCCACATTTCTCAAGATACCAACTCTATCCTTACGCTTCCATCTCACATTTTTACTGAAAATATCAAGGCCACTGGCAGGCACTTCTTCAGCTACTGTCCACCTGAACAGGTCCGTTCTCATGTAGGTCTTTCTACTTGGTAAGTTTTTTCATTGCTTCTGAACAAAAGATGAGATGAGCCTCCTCTTTTCTAAGACTACTCCACCCACACACGATATACAGTAAGCATTCGATCTATTTTAATTACAGCTTTCTTCGCCAGCTTATTCACCTCACTTAATTCTAAGAAAAATTCTCCACTTAAATTACGGTTTTCCTATCTCCTTCCTTTCACAGACCAGTATCTCAAAACTGCAATCCACCCTTACAGAGCTGCCACTTCCTCACACCCACTCACTACAGTAACTCCTTATAATCTGGCTTCCTCACAGCTCACCCTCCCTAAACCCCTCTTTTGATCACCAAGTCTGATGGTGAATTCATAGCTCTCATCTTCCTTGACCCCTCTACCTGAACACCTGAGTACAACTGTGCGTCCTTTTCCAGAAACACTCTTTTCTTTGAGTTTACCCAGGCACTCCCCTGGCAACCTCCTGATCTCTTTGCTTCTTCCTCTGGGACCTCTTCTTCCTCAGAACCTATAAATGTGGGTTTTCTCCAAGGTTTTATCTTTTATTTTGCTCTAAGAGCTGCAAAGTGTTATACAGTCTACAAGGCGCTTTCACATCCATTATCTTCTTTGCTCATCAGAATGTCCTGCTCTGAAGCAGGATTTATCTGAAGCTAGATTTATTATCCTCATCTTGAAAATGAGGAAGCTAAAGGGACCAATTAAGAGATGTGCTCAAGGCTGAATACCTAGTAAGTGGCAGAACTGAGCCTCCTTGCTCTTTTCCTATATTGTATATCTCTATTCTCTTGGTTTCCTTGACTCTCTGCAAGCAAATCTTGAGTCTTTATCTACAGTCATCACCCATCTTAAATTTCAGTCATGAACTGCCTACTGGAGGGTTTTCATGTCAGACCTCATGTTCGTTATGTCTCAAACCAAACCACTTATGCTTTCCTTAACTTTTTTTCCTCTTATTTCAGATTTGAAACCATTAGGACATCTGACTGCTCCCTTTGTTTTTTCTTCTATAACCCATTTGTTATCTTGCCCTTTGCAGTTTCTTTCTCATCTGTCCCTTCCTTTGTTTTTCCTTATTACTCTCTTGGATCAGACTCCCATTGTCCTTTTTTTTTTTTTTTTTTTAATTGTTTTTTACTTAACAAAATTATAACAATTTCTTGATCTCTGTTCTCAGACATATGACCCACAGATCATGGTTAATTCTTCCCAAAACACTGCATTACTCCTATCATTTCCAGGCTCAAAACATTTTCAATGGCTACTATGTAAGCACCTCCGTCAGGTACTCAAGGCCTTTCACAGTTGGTCCTACTCTAGCTTTTAAGTTTTGTTCCAATTATTCTCTTTCAGAACGCTCCAGTTAAATCACTACTTGCTATTCTGTGGACTAACTTTCTGCTTTTCTCTATGTCTCTGCTCAAAATGTTCTTTCTAATACTCCTCTGCTCTGACTTAACTGGAGCAGAACTTACCTGACCTCTTCAATATCTACTGCATTTTACTGCTCTGTGTAGGCATGCATGTGTGTGCTTTGTGTCTCTTACTTTAGCTCAAGGACAGAGATTGAATCTTTATGATCAACTCAACAACAGGGCCTTTTGAATGAATGTTCTAGGCCTCACAGGTTTGTCTGGATGGAGCAAGCAAGTTAGACCTTGCCTTTCCAAGGGCCATCTGCTTGCTGCAAGCTGCCCCATGTTTTCTGCAGGCTAGCTGTAATAGTCATTGATAAATGTAGAACCACCAAAGTCCTTAGCCAGGAAATGGAAAAGTGTCACACTGGTAGATTTTTTTTTGTTTTTCTTTCTCCCTTCCCCCCAACCCCACAATTCATCTTATTTCAATTCTGGCGTTTTCTTTAACCTATGTTTCTTTATTTAAGTACAGTCATCAGGAATGGCAACATGTGCCCTCACCCCACGTTGAAATATTAAGAAAACATTAAGAAAACACACACACAAAAGAGGAAAAAGCACACAATGTAACTTTTTTCCAAATCTTCCCTACATGTTAATTTCACTTGCAACATGTTGTATGGTTGGAACATGATCTTTTAGAAATCAGAGGTTGACTTTTTTTTCCCAATAGTTTTCAAATGATATGAAAAAAGATTTAACAAATGCTCCACAGTAAAGAACTCCAAAGCACTGTATTTTGGGGCAACTTCAAGGCAGCTGAAGATCTCTATGAAAATAAGCATGTGTCCATAGAGGGAACTAGCTAAAAAGAACTTAATAATAAGGACTTAATCATATAGCACTTTATGGTTTCAAAGCATTCTCACATGTAGGCCTCCTAAAAATTCTATCAGGTAGGGTGGCTGGTGTTTTCCCTCACAAAATTATCCTTTCACACGATAAATTTGAATTTCAGATTTAGTGATTTATTCCAAGTCAACTGTGACTAGAACTCCGACCAAGTGATATCATACTTACTTTACTACTGATTTTCATACAGTGCTCTGCACAAGAGTCTGGTGCCCACTGTGTGTCAGGTGGGGGCTGGATAAGATAGGGAGGGTGTTTGGAGGAGGGTGTGATATTGAGGATGACTAGGGAGTAGGTGTGGCCCTAGTCCTCCTGTCCCCAGATCAGTCACAGCTCTACCTTTATTTGTTTTATATATTGGGCCTCCATCATATTACATCATGATTCTACTGCTTTCGGAATAGAAAGGCTTAGTTGTATTAGTTGATTAAATGATTACTATGGCTATAGTTTAAAAAAAAGAAGTAAGCCAGCATTCAATATTAAATATTCAATGTTAACATTTATATAAAACAAAAAGTTACCTCAAAATAAAAGATTTCATTAAACTGCGGATTGCTTGTTTTCTTCTTTACTTTTGTCTTCTTTTGGTCATTCCTGTTCCAATGTGGTAGAGTTTTACCTTGTAGAACTTAATAGTACACAATTATAAAACATGCTATTTCCAACCAGGGAGCCTGACCTCCATTTAGCTGTTAAGATGACTCAGGGAAAACTATACTTTTAAATATTACTTGGAGAAAAATTTTGAGGTATCTTTGAAGACTCAAAGAATATACAAGTTTGTATATCCAGATACGACAAGATTGTATTATTCTTTCTATGGCTATACTAGACTGACTGACAAGCTTACTTTATAGAAGAAACTTAGAATGGTAGAAGGAAGACAATGAGATTCAGACTACCTTTATGCTGAAAAATACTCAAGAAACACAAAAAGCATACTAAACTCAGTTTACTTCTTGGGGCTCAGCTACAAAGTGGCTTTTTAGAAAACCTTTTATTTGAAAAAATTAGAGAAGGTTGAAAAGAAATGTACAGAGAAGTCCTATGCAGTCTTTCCCTAGCCTCTCCCAATGTTAACATCTTATACAATAATAGTACAATATCAATACCAATAATTACTTTTAAAACCAAATTCATATGCCAGTTTCCATTTGTATGTTGCTAAATGATTATACTAAAGAATGTGTCTTCAGCTACAGATTATGAGCAAAAACAAAAAACAGCTCTACTAGGTTAAACATTTTTAGCATACACACACAAAATTCAGTCCCTCTGATAGCATGCATGTTAAAGGATTGAGTATCTGCTTTCAAATTTAAAACCATCTATAGCAATAATAGCACACTGTTGTTTAAGCACCCAGTAAGTACTAGGCAAGGTGCTAGGTACTTTATAGACATATATATATATAAATACATTTCTTAAAGTGACTTAACGGGTGACTTCCTAAAAAATAAAAATATCTATTTGTACATCTGAAACTAATATAACATTGTATGTTAACTACACTGGAATTACGAAAAAAATAAAAATAAATAAATAAAAAGAATACCTAGAGAGCCTGAAGGTGGGGGGAAGGGGTATGTGTCTGTGTATGTATGTATATGTTTGGTGTGGAGGGAATATTTTGCTGTTTCCTGATTAAACCTTCAAGTTGTAGGCAAATTTCAGTCTAGTCAGGCTCTGAAAGAAATCATAATGAAGTTATAAAATATAAAATATACAAAGTGCTATAGGTTTTTCCATAAATTATTGTAAATAATTTAAATCAATGATATGGTGCACTTTACCATGTTCTGGTACTTCAGCAGTCTGTCTACAGCTTGGGAATTCTTTCTGTAGAGCACAGATGCCATGAGTAGAAAAGGCATTTTTAGTTCTGAACCACTTTCCAGACAGAAATATGGAAACTGTCTTGCTATTCTGGGCTAGCATTTCTTGAAACAGAATTTTACCTGCATAAAATCTAAGCTATTTGAAGGTAGGAAGGCCAATGATGAATGAAGAAGGCCACGTTTATGTTTTAAAGTATATTTTAACTACTATAAAACTCATGTTGTTCCCCACAGTCTAAGAGTCTAGCAGATCCAAAATGGCAACCATTTTCTTTCTATAAAAACAGGACTTGGTTGTTTGCAAGTGTATAACACAACTCACTAAAGACCTTTCTTTCAAAGCATTCATTACTTTGTGTCATAAATATCTATTTAGGATTTATTCTTAGAACCTTAATTTTGTAATTCTTAAGTCAACTTTTAAAACTTAAAAATCTAATAATAATTCACTCTCCTATTCTGAATTCTGAACTCCAGGTTACGAACAGAAGCCAACCACTGATCATTTCAGTGTAATGAAGCACCTACTGTCAAAGAAGAAAATCATTTGTTAAGTCCATATACATACTGAATCTTCAGATTCAGAGATGTTTACATTTCTGGATAAAAATCAGTGTACTTATGGAAAATAAAGGCATGTTTGAAAACTGTTTAGAGGTAAAAAAATAAAATCTAATAATAATCCAATAAGCATTACCTACCAATGACGTGAATGTAGCTACAAAGTATTATGCTAAGTGAAATAAGTCAGTGAGAGAAAGACAAATACCATAATGATTTCACTCACATGTGGAATTTAAGAAACAAAACAAAAGAACAAAGGGGAAAAAAAGAGACAGAGGCAAACCAAGAAACAGATTTGTTAACTATAGCGAAAATACTGATGGTTACCAGAGGGAAGGTAGGGGGGCAGCTGGGGATTAAGGAGTGCACTTATGATGAGCATATACAAATATGTTGTATGGAAGTGTCGAATCACTATACTGTACACCTGAAACTAATAACACGCTGTATGTTAACTAATTGGAACTTAAATAAAAGCTGGGAAAAAAAAAAACACATTACCTAGAAGGGCCCACTAGAGAAACTGTTGCATAAGGGTCACAGCTTTGTCCATTTATGAGAGGCAACCCGTGACATGACACGATGCTAAGAAAGAATAAAAGAAAATTAATAGTATATTTAAGTTAAACAACATAAAGCATTATCTTTAAATACAAATCAATATATTCAAAGGGTTAAAGCTTTTCCACAGGTCTGCAGATGTATGCCTATATACCACCTACCTCAAATACATCTATTGTGCACTTATTCACTTATGCTACATTTCTCAAATAGGACTTAAAACCAGAACGCCATAATCAGTACTGAGACTACCAAATAATATTTAGCATAAATCCCCTGGCTAAGTATCCAGCAAGGTACATTTTGTGGTTTGATAATATACTAACACTGCTGTGGCTTCTCAACAGGAAAAGAATGTGTTGTGAACCTTAAAGGAGAAACTACAAACCAAGCTAGATCTATGGCATCACATCCTCTGTTGAAGCATGAATGAGAAACAAGGAAATGACTGTGGTTTCCCCTTCAAATCTGATTCATAAATAGAGGGCAAGTCTCCCACAATTCTGTAGTCTTTTATTCTGATTCTCAGTAACACAGCTCCTGTATCATTCTGTAGAAAATGTTTTAGACCTTAAAACCCAACATCTTCTAATCCACTCCATGGATAAAGTCACTGGTATTTACAGAGGACATAGAATCTAACCTAATGGTCTGCTCAATTTCCTCACTAAATATTATTGAGTCCACAAATGTAGTTTAGTATCTAAGGGTTTGCATTCCTTAATGCCTAAGACAAACTCATGAGAGTTGCTGAAAGCATTCTTTGTAGAAAGATGTGGGCTACTGAGCAACATCCTTATTTCTCTCCACAACCCACAGATCATATATGTGGGTGAAGTGCATATGGTGTGCTGAGTCAAGAAGAAATGATAATGACTCATTCGATTAAATTGGGTATAAAAAAATCAAAATTTAAAAATTCCCCTAACTAACCAAAGAAAGCACAGACCGAGATAATAATTCTGGGTATTAATGTTAGACTTAGGACAGTCAAATTTTCCAACTATGTTCTGTTTGAAACTGACAATCCTCAGGCCAACCGCAGGCTAATCCTCAAAATGATACCTGATTTTTATGTAGCATATTTGCATATTTGCACTTTATCCACTATTTTCACAAAATGTATCTAACTCCCACAACTGCCTTTGAGAAAAAACACCTTAAAGAAGAAAGTAAGGCTCAAAAAGATTATGTAAGAAATTAACAAAATAAGGCTGAAGAGGTACTACAACTTGTACAAAGTGGGCCAAGACTTAATTTCTACTTTCTTAACTGCTTCCCAAGTCCAGCATCTTTCTATGTTCCCTACTGCACCTTAATATATTGATTGTATTACTCTCTTCGTAATACCACATGTATCTCATGTAAACACTAATTATGAGAAATCTTAATTATAGAAAAGTCACTATAATTTTATGAGGTAGAAAAAAACTGAGAAAAATAGTTCATTATACACAGGCTTCTAGAAGAATACTTCACAAAACAAAACAATGATGCCCATTAATCCGGAAGTATGAATTTATAAAAACCATCAGAAGTGGTCTTTTAAATGTAAGACACTTTTAAAATTGTTTTCTGAGGGGCGCCTGGGTGGCTCAGTTGGTTAAGTGTGTGACTTCGGCTCAGGTCGTGATCTCGCGGTCCGTGAGTTCAAGCCCCGCGTCGGGCTCTGTGCTGACAGCTCAGAGCCTGGAGCCTGTTTCAGATTCTGTGTCTCCCTCTCTCTGACCCTCCCCCGTTCATGTTCTGTCTCTCTCTGTCTCAAAAATAAATAAACGTTAAAAAAAAAAAAAAGCATTAAAATTGTTTTCTGACAAATAGAAGTAATATTATTAAGTACAAATTATTTTATTTGCTACATATGTTATGAAATATTTTTACAACTATTCTAATCGGTAAATCAGTCTCCTATCATAAACATGAAGGAGTGAAAACAAATGCTGAAAATGAGCTTAGTATACTGAATTATCTTACATTTTGTTACTTTTTTTTTTAAGTTTATTTTTTTGAGACAGAGAGAGCAAACAAGCAGGGGAGGGGTAGAGAGAAGGGGAGAGAGAGAATCCCAAGCAGGCTCCATACAGTGCAGAGCACCGTGCAAGGCTTGAACCCACAAACCATGAGACCATGACCTGAGCCAAAATCAAGAGACAGACGCTTAACTGAGCCACCCAGGCGCCCCTTACATTGTTTATATATGACATTTGATATTAATGCATTTTCTAGAAATTGCAAAGGAAAATATATTTAGTCCAAACTTGTTTAAATACAGAATGACCTGGATCTTTTCCTTGAGGCTCTTTTTTTTTTTTTTTTTTTAAACTAAAAGACAAATGCTAATGTCTACATACAGCCAAGATGGAGGAACAGAGAATGGAATAACTGGGAAAAAAAAAAAAAAGAACAAAATCAGCAGCGCAGGACAGTCATCTCTGAGGGGAAAAGAAATGAAATGAGTCCCCAACTGTTCCCGAGAAGAAGAGGGAGAGTGGTCAGCTGGGGAAGACCAAAGTAACTAGATTTCCCAGACAGAATACTGGAGGAAAGAAAGCTACAATGAAACAAAGAAACTTCCAGAGAGCTGTATGAATCCCCCTGGAGTGTTCAGATGAGTGCTGGTAAGCATATGCCTGTGAGGAAACTACCTGAAGATGGGGAAAGAATCATTTGATTAGATTCCAGGGAATAATTCCTGAAGCCCACAAATGGCTAGCATACTAAGGCCCCACCAGCCATAGTATGAAACTTGGTAATTCACAGATGCTGTATCATTACTGAGAAACTATAATTCCTAGATTAAAGGTTGTATTTATTCCATCTAACAAGGCTTAAAAGCAAACCTCAAAGGAATCATATTGTTTCCAAGTAACTTGACTAGGTCTTCAAGCACACTGATAGAAATAATATCCAGAAACTTCAAAATGTCTACAATCCAACATAAAATAACTAGGAACACAAAGAATCAAGAAAACATGTGCCATGAGAGGAGAAGTAAATGAAATAGAGACTTAAAAAACAATAGGACACATCAATGAAACCAGGAGATAGTTCTTCAAAAAGATCAATAAAATTGATAAACCTTTAGCCAGACTCATAAAAAAAAAAAACTCCACAGAAATACAAAGGATTATAAAAGAATATTATGAAAAACTATATGTTAACATGCCAACAAACTGTACAACCTAGAAGAAATGGATAAATTCCTAGAAACATATAACATCCCAAAACTGAATCAGGAAGAAATAGAAAATTTGAACAGAATGGTTACCAGCAAGGAAATTGAATCAGGAATAAAAAAAACTCCTCCCAAAACAAAAAAACAGGATCAGAGGGCATCACAAGTGAATTCTACCAAACATTTAAAGAAGAGTTAATAATACCTATTCTTCTCTATTCCAAAAACAACAAATTCATTCTATGAGGCCAGCATTACCCTGATACCAAAACCAGATAAAGACACTACAAAAAAGAGAACTACAGGTCAGTATGTCTGATGAACACATAAAATCTACAAAAATCCTCGACAAAATATTAGCAAACTGAATCCACCAATACATTAAAAAAATCATTCACCATGATCAAGTGGGATTTATTCCTGGGATGCAAGGGTAGTTCAACATTTGCAAATCAATCAATGTGGTACAACATATCAACAAGAGAAAGAATAAAAACCATTTGATCAGGGGCGCCTGGGTGGCTTAGTTGGTAAAGTGTCCAACTTCAGTTCAGGTCATGATCTCATGCTTCATGGGTTCAGGTCCTGCCCACATCTGGCTTCGTGTGGAACCTGCTTGGGATTCTCTCTCTCTCTGCCCTTCCTCCTCTCGTGTGTGCTTTCTCTCAAAAATGAACATTAAAAACAAAACAAAACAAAACAAAACAGAGGCTCTGATTAAAAGAATGGGAAAAATATATACTAATACTAATCAAAAGAAAGCTGATTGATTCTCTGGATAATAACAACCCAAAAGTCCATCAGTAGGGGTCTGGTTGAATAACTGATAGTAAATCTATATGTTAGAATACTATGTAGATGTCAAAAAGAATAAGATAAATCTCTACTCTCTAATTACTTTGATATAGAGGGTAGGGGGTTGGGAATGAATGTGATACTTCTCCAAACACACTTTATAGAAGTTCTGACTTTAGAAACAAAAAATCTTTTACATTTCATAAGTAAAATTAAACTTAAGCAATTCTTAAAAGGAAAAAATTATGAGAAACCACTAAAAAAGAAAGAATTATTTCAATAGACTGGAACATAGTATTTGACTCTGTATCCTTAGAACAAATAGTACAGTAAGATCTCTTAAACTTCATTCAGCAACCTCACTGCCAGCAGTAATATTGGCATTATTATTTTGAATCTATTTTCTATATTATATAAGATAATGACAGTAATTGTTAGTGTTGTCAGGGATTAAGATTTTCAATATAATAAAGTCAAAGTTAGATTAAAAATCTTGTAATATTAAATTTAAATTAGAAACATAAAAGAAGGAAGGAAAGAAAGAAAAGAGAGAGAACAAAGGCAAAAGAAGGAAAGAAAGAAAGAAAGAAAGAGAGAGAAAGAGAGGAAGACTGCCATCCAGAGAGGCTATATTAATATCAGACAAAGCAGATTTCACAACAAAGAATAGTCCCAGGGATAAAGATCATCATTTAACAACCCTAAATGTTAAGCTCCTAGCATCAAAGTTGCAAAAGCAGCAAAAACTGACAGAATTACAGGGAGAAACGGACAAATCCACAAACAGTTGGAGATAGCAACATCCCCTCTCAGTAACTGATAACCAACATGACATAATTAACATTTAGTAAAAAAAATTCTACCCATGCAAAGCAGAAAACATATTAATTTCAAATGCATATGGAACATATACCAAGATTAAACAATACTTTGCGGACAAAAACAAGTCTTGGAAAATTTGTAAGTATTCAGATCATACAAAATTTGTTGACAACAGCAGAATTAAACTAGAAGTCAACAGGGGCGCCTGGGTGGCGCAGTCGGTTAAGCGTCC